AGGCCCACAATAAGGACGCGAGCTCGAGCTTCACGATGGGCCACAACGAGTACTCGCACTTGACCTTTGAGGAGTTTAAGAAGCTGCGCACGGGCCTCCGCGTGTCGCCGTCGTACATCCAGAGCCGCGCCAAGTACGCGCTCATGGCGCCGGCCGTCAACATGACGGACGTGCCCAACGAGATTGACTGGGTCGAGCAGGGCGGCGTGACGCCCGTCAAGAACCAGGGCATGTGCGGCTCGTGCTGGGCGTTTTCGACCACGGGTGCGATTGAAGGCGCGGCCTTTGTCTCGAGCAAGCAGCTTGTGTCGGTCTCGGAGCAGGAGCTGGTCGACTGCGACCACAATGGTGACATGGGCTGCAGCGGCGGCTTGATGGACAATGCCTTCAAGTGGATCAAGACGCACAGCGGTCTCTGCAAGGAAGAAGACTACCCGTACCATGCCAAGGAAGGCACGTGCGCGCTCAAGAAGTGCAAGCCGGTTACCAAGGTCTCGGGCTTCCATGATGTCCCGGCCAACGACGAGCAGGCGCTCAAGGCCGCGGTCGCCAAGCAGCCTGTCTCTGTGGCCATTGAAGCCGACCAGCCCGAGTTTCAGTTTTACAAGTCGGGTGTCTTTGACAAGAGCTGCGGCACGAAGCTCGACCACGGTGTCTTGGTCGTTGGGTACGGCGAAGAGGGCGGCAAGAAGTACTGGAAGGTCAAGAACTCATGGGGTGCAGACTGGGGCGACAAGGGCTACATCAAGCTCGCCCGTGAGTTTGGCCCCGAGACGGGCCAGTGCGGTGTCGCGATGGTGCCGAGCTACCCGACGGCGTCGATCATTGGCGCTGACAACCACGAGAACGACGACTCGAGCGACGATCTGGCGGCGCCCGTTGTCCACCATGCGCCCGCCGCGGACGCATGGCTCCTTGAGAAGAGCTCGGGCGTCACGATTGTGCAGTGTGGCGACGTGTCGTCGCAGCTCGCGACTTTTAGCGACCTGAGCGTCTCGCCCAAGGCGCCCAAGCGCGGCAAGCCGATCCACTTTGTGGGCAACGGCAACGTCAAGCAAGCGTTCGACTCTGCGCACATGACGATCTCGGTCAAGCTCGGCGGCCAATTGCTCTACTCGCACTTCGGGAGCATGTGCGGCCACACGCACATTCCGCTGCCGCTCGGCATTGGCCACATTGACGTGGACGGCTTTGCCTGCCCGGTCAAGGAAGGGTCGTTCAAGGACATTAAGCTCTCGCTCAACTTGCCGGTGATTGCGCCGGAAGGCAACTATGAGATCAACCTCACGAGCGAAGACGCGGCCTCCAAGGCGTCGGTGTTTTGCGTCCAGGTCAAGATGGATCTCTCGGACAATACCGACAATGTCTACCAGCGCTTTAGCGCCTTGGGCTAAGCCTCGCCTCAACATGCTTTCTCCTTCTATCATCAAAGCAACGTGTTGACTTCAAAGAGCATCGTGAGTGCGTCCGAGTTGGCACCACCAGCTCTTGGTCGATCGCCCGACATGGTCTTCTTCTATTGTATGTGTGTTATGTAGCGTATCGCAGCTTAAATCATGGTGCTCGGCGCCGTCTTGCGGCCATACGCGTCGATCGCAAACGCCTTTTCATTGAAGCGCACGTGGTGGCCCTCGCTCGGCGTCGTCTCGAGCTCGTACCGGGTCTGGCCAATGTCCATGCCATGGTTGCTGTCGAGCACGTGGCCGTGGCTGTCGAGAAAAGACGCATTGTCCAGCGAGCTCTGGTTGAGCATCGCGCGGTGCACAGTGCGCTCTTCGGTACTCATGACGTCGTCGTTGGCAACCGACGACGCGCGCGTCACGGGCGTGCTCGGGCCGCGGACCTTGCTGAAAAACATAAAGTGGCCCTTGGACTGGCGGTACTGGATGAAGGCAATCGCAAGGATGACGAGCGCGAGGAGCGAGACCGTGATCGGCACGGTCGGGCCAAAGCCCTTGGCCGACGCTTGAGCCCGGAACGCCCAGTTGGGCTCAATGTCGACCACCCACGTGCAGCGAGGACCGCCCCAGAGCGTCGTGCACTGGCACCGGTTCTTGACGCAAATGCCCGTCATCATGGACGCACGCGTGCAGTCGTCATCGGAGTTGCAGGTCGCCCCGCCGGCCACATCAATGACCGAGTTGTTGGCGTCCGAGTAGTCGCCAATGTTGTCGAGAATCCACGTGCTCGTCGGGTGACTGGCGGGGTCGCACCCAATGTGGCTACCATTCTCTTCTTGGCCGCGGAGGTCTTGCCACACACGAATATAGTCGACGCTCAAGTACATCGGGAACGAATCGCAGATTTTGGTCTCGGCGACGACCGTCGCGCGGTTGGTCTTGTTCTTCCAGAGCCAGCCCGGGTCGGTTTGGTTGCCGCGGCAGGGTCCGTACCCTGCGTTCGGTGGCATCGTGCCCCACGCCGGCGCCGTCGCCACGTTGAAGATGAGGTACATGGGCTCTTCGATCGGGAGCTTGACCGGGTTGGTTTCATTCCCGCCCTGCGGCACGTTGAGGATCGACTGGGACGGGATCTCGAAGAGCACTTGGTCGTCGAGCGCCCACCGAATGTGGCCGTTGGGGCCGAGCACCCTAATGAATATTGTCAAGGCGAGGAAAATGGAGCAAATTCGTGTCGCACCACTCGAGCGAGTAGTTCATGTAGCCGCGGTACGCCTCTTGGGTCGTAAACCAGTTGGCCGAGAGCGCGTCCATTTGATAGTTGAACGGCGTCATCTGGTTGGTCTTGGCGCGGCCGTCCGGCCGGGCAAACTCGCAGCGGTAATACTGGTTGTCCGGGTCGCAGAGGTACACGCCCTTGTAGCCGTTCGCTTGGGCAAAGCACGTGCTCTTCTCGTTCACGCCCCAGTGCGTCGGACCGACACCGTCAATGAGCCCGAGGTCGCCGTTGACGTCGCAAGACGCGGGAATAGCCTGCTGGTCGCCCGGAGACGAAAAGCACGTGTTGGTCGTGATCTTCTTGGCCGTCACCGACTGATAGACCGAATTGTACTGCTGGCCGTACGTGGCATTGGGCGCGCACTTGTTGTTGGCCGCGTACCGCAGCCCTTGGTACCAGTGCTGTCGCTTGAAGGCCGCGGACGGGACGTTGGCCATGTTGGCGCCCGTGTACTTGCACTTCTTGTCGTAAAAGCAGCCGCCGTCGTCCGCGTTGTAGAGCCGGTAGTCGAACGGCATGCCCGGTCCAATCTGGATCGACGACGAGATTTCGTTGCCGCCGCCCTCGAGAATGTCAATTTCCGGCGCGCCGCGGCCCTGGAACGGGTTGAGGCCGTGGCCCGGCGTCGCGTTGCACGCCGAGATGCGCTGCATGTCCTTGTAGCGCGGGTCGCATTCGTTGTACGTCCACGGCCACATGCGCCGCGTCGATGCGCTAAAGAGCGCGCGCCCGAGGTTGCCCATGAGCCAGATACCAGGCCACGTCGGATAGAAGCCGCGGTCGCTCTCGACGAGGCGCTGGTACGGCGGGTACTTGGGGTTGCCGGACGCGGCGTCCAATGCGCCTGGCAGCTGGAGGCGCACCTCGATGAGGCCGCCTTGGAGGCAGAATTTGTTCCATGTCTGAACCATCGCGCCCGTGTAATACTAGGGAACTGTGAGTTGTACATACGAGGATCAAGCTAGCGCACCATGTTCTTGTTGACCCAGCCGGGTTTGGTCGAGTATTGGTCCCAATACTGGATGGGCACGGTACCTTCGTCGACGCGGATGAGGAACTTGCCGTTCGACGTGTACGTGTTGTGGGGGCTATAATACCCGATCGCGCTGTTGACGCCGTCTGGCAGGTTGAGTGCGGTCCAGAGGTGGTCCATACCGGCGGTGAAGTTGCGGTTCTCGTTGTTGAATTCGTCCGACATGACAAGGTCGTACTCGTGGCCGCGCGACGTGGTCTTGGTCAAGGCCCACTCGGGGGTCTCGACGTCGACCCATGTCTTGACGCCCGACTTGGTCGGCGCGTCCTGCACCTCGGCCATGGCCGCGCCGAGAACGAGGAAGAGGCGCCACCACATGGGAGAGCTGGGGCTTCTGCTGGCCGTCGGCAAATGCGAAACTAAGAAGATCCGGCTCCGTGCTGGGCCCATCCGGATACACGTGACCCGCGACGGTGCACTTGGGTTCATTATGATACAATATTTGGCGCCAGGTGACGCCACTTCCACCGTCGCGCTCACTGTGGTACGCGGTGCTCTCGGCGGGGGGACATCCTTACAAACACCAAGTATAAAAAATGATGGCCACTGTCGCAGGGCAGCAACGCAGGTCGCGCTGCCCACGTGGTGCGCTGGAATTCCAACCTCCGCTGCGGTCCACGAAGGCTCTCGCTGCTCGATTTCCACAGCACTCGAAACATTTTGTTGGCATTTATGTCGAGGAGGTAGCGCGTACCGTGTAGTATACCATCGTTCGAAGACGCACGCACGTGGAATCCAGCAAGGTGATAGACGACGTTCTTCTTCCGCGCTCTTCGATCCATGGCTCTTGCTGGCCACAGCGGCGCGCTGGATCCAAACGACGCGCGCCATTTTGAGTCAAAGAGGGTCGGACTGGCGCAAGCGTCGGTGGCCATGCAAAGCTTCTTTTGTGCCAAAGACAAAGCATGCTGTCGATAGACAATATTGGGATCCAAGTCGGAATCAAGTCGAGTTGTGCCGATGGACAGAAGTCTGGACGGGCGACAAAGACGGAGGGAACGTTCGACTTTGGACGCACCAAGGGCCATGTGCGACGCGGTCTCCCTTTCGCACGCAGAGGCATTGCGAGAAAGCAGACGTCCAAAGAGTCGGTCGGTTGTCGGATGAAATCGGACAAACGACAAAGTACGAAATCTACACGGTGAAGGCAACCCGACTATTTTGGCGTTCCATGGTATTCGGTGCATGTTGCTAATCGAGACTGTGTCGCCAAAGCCAGCAACGTCCTGGGTCTCGTCCATGGCTGTCCCTGCTCCTCATTCTTTGTCGGATAACTCGAGCAAAAGACTTCTCAACGCAAAACACGGTAGTGTACTAGTATGCAATTTGGTCACGCTTATGAAAAGGCCACGTGGAGCTTGAGCTTCCCGGCCGTCTTGCTCGTCGCGCCGCCTTCAATCGGGCTCGGCTCGGCGTCGTCGTCGTCCGGCAAGCCGAGGATCTCCGTCTTGACGTGCAGCTGGCCGTTCACGACGCCGTTGACGCGAATGTCCAAGAGCATATCGACGCGCGGCTCCGAGAGGCGCAGCGGAAGCAGCACGTTGCCGAGTGTCTCGTCCACGAGCATGCTCTTGTCAAAGAGCGTAAACGAAATCTGCTTGTGCTTCTCGGGCGCCTTCCAGTCAAACGTCAGCGTCTCCTTCCAGCTCATGTTGGCTGACGCCGCCTTGAGCGCCGTCGTCTTCTGGCTCTTGCCGCCGAGCTCAACGCCAATGTACGGCGCCAGGTTGGGCGTCGAGCCAAACATGGTCTTGGGCGGCACATAGTTGACGAGGTCGAGGACCGTCACGAGCACTTGGAGCGACGGCGGCTTGCCGTCGCGCGCCTTCTTGGGCTTGCCCCAGAGCATGTACTCCTTTTCAAGGCGCGGGAGGTCGACCGACATGGCGCTGAGGTCGGCCACGTTCGAGTGGACCCACTTGCTCAGCGGCGAGCTGCCCGTCTCTTGGTCAAAGTCCATCATGAGCTGGTTGAGCGGGATGCGCAACTGCCCAATCGTGCTCTCAAAGCCCGTAAACGAGTCGCGGACCTTGAACGTCACGTTCGTAGTCGCCGACTCGGTCTTGAGCTCAATGTTCTTGGCCGCGCGCCACTCGGGGTTGGCCGTACCAAAGAGGCACTTGGTCTGGAACACCACCTTGTCGTTCAAGAGCACGTAGCAGATCGGGTTGCACTGGCCGGATGACGCGACGAGGCCGCTCGCACTGAGAATCTCAACGTGCAGCATCGAGGGCTGCTGCTTCGAGGGCACAACGAGCACCTTGTCGACAAACTGGCGCTCCTTGCGACGCCGGCCCTGGAACGGCACAACGTCCTCGAGCGTCTCGGAGGCTTCCGTCGCCAGCGTGTGCGCGGTCGACGTGACCGTCTTGAGCAGGACGACGGGCGCGCCCGCGAGGCCCTGCACCGCGCCTTGCATGAAGCCCGTGACACCGCCCGACATGGCGCCTTCCACCGGCTTGGTGATGATGCCCGTCAGGCCAAGACCAAGGTTTTTCGCAAACTTGAGCCCGCCGTCGACCACTGACGTCGACTCGTTCGCGTCGCGCTCGTCCTTGTCGTGGGGCGTGTCGGCCACGTCCGAGACCTCGTCCATGAGCTTGTCGAGGCTGCCAGTAAACTTGGCGAGCGCGCCCGTGCCCGTCTTGGCGACCGTCTTGCCGAGAATCTTGACGCCTTCGCCGCGCGTTTGCGAGTCGCCCAAGACCTCGTTGGTCGTCACCTTGAGAAAGGCCTTTAAGCCCGACCCGAGGTCTTCCACGAGCCCCACCGGGTTGCCCAGCATGTCGATCGAGCCCACGAGCTTGTACGCCTGCATGACCACGTCGCGCGAGTAGGTTTGCACGAGCTGCGACACGAGGCGGTCTTTCGTCGTAAAGCAGTGGCGCTTTGTGATCGCGCTAAAGCTAAACGACGGCGACCCGCTGAGCTTGGAGCCGACAATGCCAATGAGCTGCATGAGCGCGTTGACGAGCCACGAGCGTGAGTGTGCCATGGCCTTGGAGCGCGCAATGTCTTCCTTCTGGATGATGCACTCGAGCTTAAACTGCGTCTCGCGCACCGAGAACGCCTCGAAATACAAGAGCTGCGAGTTGCGGATCGGTGCTGGGCACGGCATCGGCTTGCTGTAAAGCTCGAGCGCGAGCTCCAGCTGCGACTGGAGCGCCGTCTCGGACGCCAAGAGCGGTTCGAGCAGCCCGAGGAGCTTGAAGAGATAGTCAATGTCGACGCGGATGTAGGCCGGCTGCACGGCCACGTCCATGACCTTGAAGAGGCTGCCATTGTCGCCAAGCGTCTCGAGCACGAGCTTGAAAAAAGGCACGGGCGTCACCGAACCGCTGTTGTAGCCGCTGTCGACGGGCGCGAGGATGACCGGGAACTTGGCGTTCGCGAGCATATTGTCGACTTGGAGGTTGAAAATCGAAATGTCCCACTCGAGCGACTGCGGCGCGCTCTGCACGCGCACGTCGTCCATCGAGAGGTACAGCACTTCCTGCGGCAGCGCGTCCATAAAGCTGACGCCAAACCCGGCAAGGCGCATGTCGAGCGCCGTCGTGTACAAGGACGCCGCGACCGCGCGCGCCTGGCCTTCCAAGCTCGTCTTGGCGCTGCGGAGCTTGTCGAGGTGCTTGGATCGGGCGTCGACGATGCGCAGCACGCGCGCGCTGCCGACGGGCACGACCTCGAGGACAAACTTTTTGGGGCCGTCCATGAGCTTGAGCAGCGAGAGGTCCGACGTCTTGACGGGCCCGACCGAGTCAATGTCGACCGTGAACTTTTGGCCTTGAATCGTCACGTCCAGCTTGTGGTCGGCCACGTACGCCTGGTCCCACGCAAACGCGAGGCGCTCAGCGCGCGCGAGCTCGGTCGTTTGCTTGGCGAGGTTGCTGCCCTGGCGCAAGGTCACTGGGTGCATCGTGTAGTTTTCGACGCCGTACGGCGGGTACGACGACGCGTCCGTGAGCACGACAAAGAGGTGCGTGCCCAGCAGCTGGATGCTCGCTTTCACGATAAAGCCGCGCTTGCGGATCGTGCACTCGAGCGGAAAGTACACGTCGCCGACCGCGTTGACCGCAAGAATTGACGACCAGACCGTCGACCCCGACAGCGCCATGCTAAAGTACTTTTGGCACTTGACGAGCGGGTCCTTCGAGAGCGGCTCAAACGCATACAAGACCCCGTTCGAATGCGACGCGAGGTCGTACGTCGGGCAGTTGCTGACGGCCGCGAGCTCGTTCAGATGGTCGGTCGCCGGCGTCGCAAACGCGCGCACTTGAATGTCGTACGGCGTGTGGTTTTGCACCACGTAGCGCGGGCTCAGCGCGATCGCAATCGAGTCGGCAAAGAGCCCTTCAAGCCCCGTAATGTCGACGCCGAGCACGTGCCCGCTGCTGTAGACTTCGCCGCTTGTCTGCACGGCCGACGCGTTCATGGGCTCCGACCACGCGGCCGCCGCACTAAGCTGATGAAACATCGGCGGCACCACGTCGTCCGTCACGAGCGGCGTCCATGACGGTGGCGTCGACGTCGACGGCGCGTTGGCCCGGAAGCTCATGCGGGCCTTGGGCGCGTGCACCATGATGGGCGTCGCAAAAGCCGGGTGGACCGTCACTTCGTCGACCGCGCCCGACGCCGCGTCCGCGTCCGGCAGCTTGTACGAGAGGTCGAGGCCCGTCTTGTTGACGATCCAAAAGGGCACGGAAAACTTGACCACGCGCGGCTGCCCGGGCATCGTCGCGCGCTCAAAGCTCACGCTCAGATTCGGCTCGAGCTCGTACTTTTCAGGCGCCGTCGTAAAGAGGTCGACCGTCGCATGGATCGCCATGAGCAGCGGCTTGGACCACATCGACGTCGCCGCGCCGTTGCGCAGCCGGAACGCCATGTACCCGGGAGTCTGCGATGAGAGCCCTTCGACTTCACCGGTCGCGCCAGACGCCACCTCGCCGTGGACCGAGCTCGCTTCGAGGAGCGTTTGAATTCCGTTCATGTCCATGCGGCCGGCGCCGGGTGTCGCGCGGTACTCCAAAAACCGATACTCGATCGTGTACGGCAGCGCATTGTGAATCACAAACGACGGCAGCACCGACAGCTCCCACTGCACCGTGTTGTCCGTGAGCACGTGGCGGTAGAGGAGGATGCTGGGCGTGAGCTGCTTGACGAGCTTCGACGCCTTGTGCTTTTGGTGCAGCGGCACGATCGTACCCTTTCGCACAAACGAGTTCATGCTCGACTCGGTCTTGTTGAGCTCGGGCTTTTGGGCGTCGAGGAGCATGTCGTTCGTGAGCTTGATGTTGACGTGCCAGCTCTTGCTGTTGGCGCTGCGCAAGTAGACTTCCGTGTCGCCCATAAACACCGAGATGGGCAGCGACAGCGACGTCGCGCTCTCGAGCGTCGTCACCTTGTCGTTAAGCGATGTAAACCCCGCCAGGTGCACAAGGCTCTGCATCTCCATGTCGAGCGAGCTCTTGTTCGAGATGACAATGTTCGACTTGAAGACGACGCTGGCGTCTTTCGGGTCTTCGAGGCGGCAGATCGCATTGAGCGTGATAAAGTGAGCGCCAGCACTGTCCTTGACGACGAGCTCTTTCGGGCCAAACGCAGGCAACGCCACGTCCGTGAGCGCGCCCCAGGACGGGATTTCGACTCGGCAGTTGGCGACATCCACGCTTTTCAGCGCCTGCACCGAGCGCGGCTCCAAGGTAATTTGATCGTCGCCATTGCCAAAGATGAGCGGCACACCCGTCAAGTTGGTGACGTGGAACGGCGGCTCGTCCGGCCGGTACACGACCTTGGGCGCATCGGGCTCGACTACGTGCTCGCCCGACATAATCTCGGGCAAGATCGCCAGCACCTCGAGCAGCGACGACGACACGTTGATCTGGAAGCGCTTCTCGGCTTCGAGCCAGACGCGGACGCCCTCGACGCCCGCCGCGCTGTTGACGCCGACCAGACACACCCACGGCTCGATACTGTGCTCCATTTGCCCCGAGAGGTCACTGTAGCACGACGCTGCGACCTGGAGACCGAGCGTCATGGCCCATTCGGAGGCTTGCGCGTTGACGTCATAGACATTCGGGCCAATCGCAGCCGAGAGCGCGACCGAGCACGTCAATTCGTCGACAACAAGGTCGGCGCGGCACGCCGTCGACGGCAGCTTGTCATCGAGCAGCACGACGTGGAACGCGCCGAGCTTGATGTCACTGCGCACTCGCAGCGAGACACCGGCCATGGTCGGCGCCGGTTTGGTTTCGACCACCTCGATCGTCGGCTCGGCGCTCTGGTTGAGAATCATCTTGGCCGCCGACTCAAACTCGACGATCCCGCCGCACGCCGTGTCGTCGTTGACCGTCCACGCCAAGTCAATGTCGCGGTTCTCGTCCGAGGTCGCCAAATTCGGAACGACGAGCGCGTCCCAGACTGCGTGCGCCGCCTCGTGGTGCTGCAAGAGGCGCACAAGCTTGCGCTGCAAGAGGGCGGGCGACTGGCCAACCCGCGACGTTCGTGTCGCGCCCATTTCCGCTTGGTACAAGCTCCAAAACGCATCGAGCGGGTCGGACGCGGCGCGGGACGTCAAAAAGAAAAACCAGTCGGATGGCGTCGACTTGGAGAACGGGCCAAAGAGCGTTTCGAGCACGTTGAGCGCGTCGTACTCGCACGCGTAGAGGTCGACGTAGCCGCGCAAATGGTCGACGTTCATGGTTTCCAAGAGGTAGTGGCGGAACTCGTCAAAGTCGATCGTACCGCTGCCGTCCTTGTCGATTGTGTTGAAGACCGTGGCCGTGAGCTCGCGGAGTTCACGCGTGAGCAGCTTCTGGTCCACGATCGCGTGCGCCAGCAGCATCTCGAGCTCGTCCAGCTCAATGGACTTCGTGTGGTCGACGTCAATCTCTTCAAACTGCGCCTGCGCCACGTCGAGGCGCTGCTTGATCTGCAGCGCCATTTCAGCCTCCTGCGCGACTTCCTGCGCGACGCGGCGCTTCTTCATCTGGTCGTCGGTCGTCGTCTGGATCGTGCTCAGACTCGTGACGCTGCTCAGAAACATGGCAAAGTTGAGCTGCGAAAACGACAGCGTAATGTCCGAGACCGACACGGACAGCGTTTGCGCGAAGTCGCCCGACGCGGTCCGCGCCAGCTCGTACCCGTTGGCAATGCGGAGCGGCGCCAAGAGCGACTGCGGCAGCGAGGTTTGCGGCGAAAAGATGGTCGGGAACCCGCTCTTGTCCGTCGGCGCCTGGTACAAGCGCGGCAGCAGCGCGGCCTCCGAGAGCACAAGCTGCATCGACTCGGCGTCCAGTGAGCTCTTTACGGCGAGCTCCGTCGTCATGGTGAGCTCCAAGAGCGCACCCGTTGACTCGACGGCCGGCGGGATCAAAAAGACGCTCACGTCCGCGACGCGAACCGCAATGTTCATCGTTGCGCCCTTGAGGAGCGAGCACGGCCCGACGTTCGAGAGGTTGAGCTTGGACGACGACGACGTGTCGTGGACCACGACCGCTGTCGTCGTTGTCGTTGCGGTCGTCTGCGCCGGCGCCGGCAGTTGCTCGGCCATGTACGCTTGCGCCGTCAGCTGGAGACGGTCGACGTACAAGAGAAATTCCTGCAGCGGCTCCTTGGCGGCAAAAACGGCGAGCTTCTCAAACGTCACGTCGAGGTCCATGCCGCCGGCAAACGTCTGGCGCAGGCGGCCGTCCAACAACTTTTCGTTGGACGAGTGCGAGAGCAGCTGCGACCGCTGGCACTCCATGCTCGGCGTCAAGGTTGTCAGCTGGATGTCGCGGATCGCGTACTGGAGGTCCATGGCCACATTGCCCGTCGTACACTGCTCCATGAGCACGTCGACGCCCGCAATGGCAAACTCGGCCGCGAGCGTCGGCTCGCCCACCGGCGTCTTGTCGGCGACCGGCAACTTCTTGTCCTTCGTGTCCAGCAGCTGCACGGTCCAGCGGTTGAGCGCGACGACAATGTGCTTGTCGCGAAACGGTGCGTTCTCGGCTTGCACTTTGGTCACGAGCTCGATCGGCATCAAGTGGGTTTGTGCCAAATGCTCGGTCCAGCGCAGCGCCTTGGCACGCAGAGCAAGCAGCTGGTCCAAGGTCGCCATCTTCTCCACGTCATTCACGGCATCGACCGGCGTCGGCGCTTGCGCAGCAAAGTCCCACTTGAACGCGCGGCAGTACGCATCTTCAGCGTCGGCAGTCTGGTGGATGCACTCGGCCATCTCGGCCTGGTTGAGCGACTCTTGGAAGAGACCATACTTGACGTACGGGATGTAGTACCGGATGAGCGTCAGATACAAATGCGGCGAGAGCGTCGTCATCATGTCTGCGAGCGTGATCGAGAGCCCGAGCTTCTTCGTGTCGAGCGGCAGCGGCGAGAGCATGACCTCAAAGACGTACGGCATCGTCACGTCGACGAGCAGAGACGGGAAGCCGAGCACGCGTTGGCTCTCGAGGCAAATGTAAAAGTTGCGCATCGCGACCGTACGGTGGTTGATCTGCACCTCTTCGTTCGTCGGCGCGCTCGTCAGCGAGAGCTCGGTAAGCGTGATCGTCAAGGGCGTCGTTGGCGCCGCGTCCTTCTCGCCAATGAGCTCGATCGAGACGTCGCGGATCGAGATCTTGATTGTCTCGGCGATCGAGTGGAGGAGACGCGACTTGAACGTCGACGGCGGCGGCGCTTCGTTGGGCGATGCGAGCCGCGCGAGGTACGTCTGCACGGCCTGCGTCATGCCATTCGCGAGCGCCAGCTTGTTGGCGACAACCCGCTCGAGGTACGCCGCCCGGTCAAGCTCGCAGTTGACGCCAAACGTACCGGCCACGCGGACGCCGACGATTTCGATCGACATGTTGTAGCACATGGGTCCCGACCCGCCAAAGAAGCTCGGGAGCTGCACATGGAGCGCGTCAATGGACACATGGCTGAGCTCAATCGGGAACGGCAGCGAGAGGCGCAGATCGTGGAGGAACGAGGCTTGGAGCACGATGCGCTCGAGCGAGATGAGGCCCGTCCAGAGGTTGTAGAAGAGCTCGATGGAGCTGTGGATGTACGCCTTGGTGGCCTTGGCGACGACCGAGCCCAAGAGCGGGGCGATCGTGACCTTGGCGAGAGGCGGGATCACGCACAGGGACACGAGGATCGTCGTGAGCCCGAGGAACAGCATCGTCATGTCGAACTGCATGAGGTTAGCAGAACGGACAAGCGCGGAAATGCGAGAATAGGCGCAGCCGGTCAAGGCCACGCGAAACCTCCCAGATTTGATACAACCCGTTGAATGAAAATAGTGTGAATTGTGCAACTGTGCGTTGACAGCGCTGACGTGTCAGGCTAAAGAGCGCTCGTCCAGCACCGTACACGAGACTATGGTTTATACCTCATAGAGATCGAGGGAGCGGCTCGAAGCCTCTTTGCCGCGCATTCATGGGAAGCGGCCACAAGTGCAGTTGTGTCCTTCTTCTCCGCCGGCGAGTTGTTCACGCCGAGGGCTAGGTGAAGTCATCGACGCGCAGCTCGCCAGGTCTGGGACGCGCTACACGGGCATGCTGGGCGGGCCTTTATACATAACGGTACAACGCAGCCTTCTCCACGTTGGGCGGGGCCGGTCGCCAACGGAACGAAGTGTGTGACTTTCTTGGTCGGACCTGCACCATCGATCCCACAAACGCCGTGCACCCAAGCAACAAGACTACTACTGCGCGCGCGAGCAATAGCGATGAAGAAGCCACTGCTCACTCCCGTGGTCACTGCAGCTTTCCACAAGACAGTGTCGTCCGCGCGCAAGGCTCCGCCTGTCGATCGTGCTGCGCCAACATTTATACTAGCACACTATACCGGTGCATCCCTGGACCCGTCAAATGATCGTTTTCCAGAGGTCGAGTACTTTTTTTGGCGGCAACCAGCTGGCACAGCGAAATTCGGCTGCCACCAGGTGCGAAAGCCCCTCGCCGCAGCTCATCGCTCGCAGCAGCAGCACTACCGGTAGCACGTAGCATGACGAGCTGCTGGAACCTGGAGGTGCTGCGCTTCTGGCTGACTTGGCGGGCGTCCGAGAGGCTGTGGGGCTGCATTGACGCGACACGACACCTATCACGTCGGCGTTGGAGTTCGAACCCATGTCAGCTCACATGTGGTGCTGCTCCCATTCGCAGGCAATCGCCAAAGCTGCTGGACACGTGCACTGCGGGCAATGGAGGGCCACAAATGCACGCCAGTCGCACCTCGTCGATGACAACATCTCGCTGCTTGGGGCCACTCGACGCTCATCAGCTCAGATGTAGACAAGGACGCGGCAAAGCCCATCCCACTCTTTGGCGGCTGCACGACCGGGCGCGTTTTTCATTCCATTCCGAACGCGCTCTCCAGATTTTATGCCGTCGTACATTGTTGCCTGCGATGGCATCGATCGAGTGCATCGAATGCGAGCACCTCCGTGCGCCACGTCATGGCGGCAGTTTGGGAGCATTCGTACTTGTGTATCAAGGTGCAAAGCATAGCTCTGTGATGCGCAGTGTTTAACGCACTCTATCGCATTCGTCGTCTTCTTCCCGTCACGGCGTTATCTTCATGAGCGCCTCGCACGCCTCCATGTTGGTCTCAAAGGCGTGGTAGTTGATCGACCCAAGGCCTACATGCTCGTGACGTTGCGTGCATTTCACGATGACGCACCTCCGATGGGGTCCCAGCCAAAGCCGGCGGCGAAGCCATTGTCGCAGCAGGGCTGGTTGAGCGCGCCGCATCCGTTCTCGCCCGCCACAATGTCGTTAAAGATGAACGGACACACCTCGTAGAGCTATAAAAATGGGCACCGATGACCACCCATCATCGACGCATCGAGACAGTACCTTGTACAGGTACGGGTTGACAAACCCGAGCTTGGGGCGACCGGTGCGCAATCGGTACTTGTTGAGGTGCGAGATAATGGCCGCAACAATGGGCGCTGACGCCGACGTGCCGTCACAGGATGTGTAGAAGCCAGCAATGTAGAGCGCGATACTGTGCCCCAGCGCCGATACTAGAAGACAATATGCGTTCAGCACGATGGTCAAGTGCGACGACGCACCGTCCGGGTACGCGCGACCGCTCACGTTGAAGCGCGGCTTGTCGAGCGAATGGCGTGCCACGTAAGCGTCGACGACACTGGCCTTTTCGCATTGGCGATGAGACCCGCGACGCGACAGAGAACGGTACCTGATACGAGGGCCTCGGGCTGTCGGCGCTAAAGCCACCGCCGGTCGTGATGGCGCCACCATTGCGGATCGAGAGGCCTGTCTCCTTGCCGCCGACGTTGACGGTTGCACCCACCGACACGATGTACGGCGACGACGACGGATAACTTGGCTAAAGAGTGTACGGTCCCATGTTGCCGGGGTGCGCAACGGGGTACTACCTGGTACTTGGCGCAGAGCTTGGGGCCGAAATCCTCGAGGTACCAACTGCCAACGACGCCATTGTCGCCACTCGCGACGACGATCGTTGTGCCCCGGAGTCCGGCCTTGATGAACTCGAGATCAAGGGCATTGCGATAGGATAGCGGCAGGGCACACTCGTCGTCAGCATAGCTATATGACCAAATGAGTGTAAACTCGTTGCGACATTGCACTAGCTGTCTTACCTGATGGAGACGACGCTCGGTGCTGGCTCAAGGGCGTTGACGTCGCGCATGAAGCGAAGAAAAGGCTAGCCCATATCGGGTTATAAACGCCCATCGAATGCCATCGATGTACCTCTTGGTTGGCGTCTGACGCGGGCTCGTCAGGAACGCGCAGATCGTTGTAGCAAAGGATCGTTGTGGCGTTGTTCCGTGTAAGCCCCGCGATGAGCTGCGCGTCCAACGAGGCTTCGCTTGTCGCGGTCTTGCCAGTGCCGTTCCCGATGCAATTGCGCTGGGCGGGCATCACAGAAAGCGGTGCTTGGCCGTTCACTACGCACAAATTGTGAGTCGGCACCTGGGATGATCGCGCTATACCGCCCAAGTACGACTCGATGTCTGTCTCCATGTAGGTCTCTTCCAAGAAGGTGCCAATGACGACGCCGTTGCCGTCGTAGCTGCTGTCGAGATCCTTGGGCAGGTGATATTGCTCCTGGAGCGTCTCGATCGTAACAACGCTTGCGAGCGGATTGTTGGCGCCGTACTGCAGCCGGCGGCGCGACGCACGAGCTTTGGTTCGTGGCAGGCGGTCGAGGCCGTCAATGAGAACAACGTGTGCTGCAATGCTTTTGGGCATCACGACGCCATTTGAAGCGCGCAAGATACGACGCGTCTCGAGGCTGTAGGCGTGCACTTTGGTGTCAAAGAGGGTTTCGACGTCCGCGACCGGCAGCGTCACGCGCCAGAGGTCGCCCGCGCGGCTCACGACGGGGTTGTACTTGCTTAGTAAGGCTTGCATCGCGGCGGCCGCGGCGTCACTTGGCCGCGCCGCCGTGTCCAGGTTCGAGAGGTACCGGCCGTACGTGGCCGACGTGACATCCGAGATGGCCGCGAGCTGCGCTGCGAGGTCGGCTTCGGCCTGCAGCTGAATGCGCAGCTCCATTGTGTCTGCCTCGTGGGCGCGCTCAAGGCGGCGCCACGCTGTCGCGCTCGAAGTGAGCGCCAAGAGCGTCACGGCGAGCTGTTCCAGTCGCAGCATCCTTCGAAATGACGATGGCGCGGAGGATGACGTCCAGAGGAAAAAATTTAATTCGAAAGATTGGGCAAAATGAAACAGGCCAATCGGAGAGCGCGCGACAGATGTAGCTGCAACCAGCACAATATCTGTGCTGCAAAATCTTGCTTGGCCCTGCATGGACAGACTGCACAGTGACTTGGAAGGTTTGCAGCAAGGACAAGATGCGTTAAATATATTCGGTCGGATATGCCGGTGCCTGGACGCACACTGTCTTGGGCTGGCCTCGCATTGGCTGGATCTTGGTCACAAACTGCTCTTCCAAGTACGCTTCCAGTTGCTGCCAGAGGCGGCAGCTGATGGACTTGGCCTTCAGCGTCAGCGACGGCGCGTCCGATCCGGTTTCACAAATGCTGCGGAAGTACAAACTGCCGGGAAATTCTATCTTCCGGACGCCGTCCATGGTGGGTTTAGCGGGCTGTTGCCACAAGCACGCGGACGAGGCCTCTTGTGGCAGCGTGCTCGGCCACGCGGGCAGACCATGTGCGCTGGCGTTGTGCGTTGGGTGTGCTTGTTGCAGGTCTTGGATGCGGCGTTGTGCCTCGAGGTCGATGACGAGGCCAAAGATGAAGATGCTCACGATCAAACACGCCGAGACGATGATCTCTGTGAGCGGGACCATGCGGGATGGAAAGGAGGATTTGAATTCTACTGCACTTTGGCGCAAGCCAAGACGTCGGATCGCAACGCCATCAACGGCAGTCGAAGATAGAGGGCGATGTGGGATTGGCCCGCCGGTATTCTATTGATAGCAAAAAGGGTGCCACGTTGGCGGCCAACAGCCTTGCAAAGGCGAGCACTGTGGTGAAAGCCATCAGCGAACGAGCCCATAAAGCGCTAGACAGTCATTCAAGAGTCCCTTGGACCTCATGCAGCGAGTAGATCACATGACGGGTGCAATTGTTGACGTGCTCTGCATACTAGTATGTTCGTCGCATTGTACTGAGCACGCGCATAACGAACCAATTTATCATTGTCCTTGCCTAGAAACTAGAGCTATTGCTTGGGAGATGGCGCCAGCAATTACACGCAACGCAAGGCAGCCGAGATACAGGTATGTGTATATTGGAGATGGGAAAATGACCTCGAAATTAGGCACGTGTGGCTTCGGTGCGGCTGCAGATGAACACCTCCCACCCGCGAAGCTCGATGGTGACGCCGCCGGCCTTGGCTTTCGCGACGTACGACTGATCCCCGTCTACGAACGAGTGGCACGCGCTCGGTAGCTGAATTGACACGTTGGTGCACGTCGCAAGGGCCTTCAAGAGCGCTTGCGTGGCACCGAGGCGAAACGGGTTCTTTGTGAGATCTAGCTCGAGAGGCACGCTCGCGTGTGTCTTGCGTAGCGCCTTGGCCAACGCCGATGCGCCGCGCGTGTCGATGTCGCAGTTGACGAATTGTACACGGCGTGCACCGGCTTGGACACATCGTGTGAGCGTGTCAACCGCGCTGTCATGGTTGGCGCCAAAACACCCGCTGCGCATCGCGGCGACGGACTCGAGATGCGTTGAGCGCGAGGCCCAGTCGAGAAGTGCGATCAGACTCGATGCTGACACGTCGACGTAGTCCAACTTGAGGGTGCGAAGTGCCGACGGTACGGAGCTCAATTGCACGTCGGCGTCTCCGAGTTTCACCATATCGAGGGCGAGGTTCTCAAGCGCCGACAAGTGCGGTAGTGCAGGGATGAGGCAGTTTCCAAGGTCCATGCGGTCAAGGCACTGGAGAGAGAGGGATCTTAGCTTGGACAAAGGAAGCAGCGGCAGAAGACGTGGCACGAGGTTCCCCGTATTTGTCGTCAGATCCAGCTCCGTAATAGACGTCAACACGCCGCCGTGGGCGATGATCGAGTCGAGAACCACGTTGCATTCGCTCAAACACAAGCTTGCTAATGTCGGTGATGTCGCAAGCGCCCGCGCCAAACCAGCGTCAGTCGGGCCGCTGAATTTAGCAAGTTTCAAGCGGCGCACATGGCCAGACGCTAGCCAGCGCTGCAACGCCGCGACGGCGCGCGGTGGAAAATTCTCCGAATTGTCGGGCGGGGCGAGAGAGAGCTCTGCCACGCTGTGCGCGGACGATGTCACGGCCTCGAGAAGATCGACCTCGGTCGGAATGCACGCGCGCTTGAGGCTCGTACAACGGGCCAGCATGCGGCAAAACTCGTCACGATAGGTGGGGTATTTGAGGTCACTCATGTCGACGGACGTCATCTTGGCGGCCCACATCGCAACAAAGCCGCAGAAGGGCAGCCGGAAGGCAGGGTCGCCACTTGCTGGCCAGTGTTTGCTCAAGCAGAAACCGTTGATGCAAGCAGAGTTGAAAAGCGAGATGGCGGCGCCGATGCAGTCGATCTCGTCGTAGGTAGCGCTGTAGAGTCGTGGTGTAGGCCAGTGCTTGGCGCCACGCGACATTGCCAACAACTCGAGGAGCACGGTCAGCGCTGGCGTGCGCATGGCTAGCGGCAGCGCGCGTACAAACGAGACAACATCATTGGCTTCCGACGTGTACTGGAGAATGGCGACGGGCACGCCATCGACATCAAGCACCGTAGGTCGACTCGGACACAGCCGCTGCGCCATTGCGAGAAAGGCAGCTTTTGCCGTTTG